GACCGGAGACTTAAACCTGCAACCTTTGGGTTACGAGTCCGACTCTCTAACCATTAGGCCACGACTTCCCCAAGTCCACTTCCTTCCTAACAACAAATCAACAAAACACCGGGACACGGCATCACAATATGGTGAGGGGCGTAACATTTCCATCACACGCGTGAGGTATTCGGCCAATCACAACGCACTGGATAGCTGGCCAATCACAGCACACCTCGCTTTTTCAGACCGATGAGCTTTGTAAAAATCGACGCGTTTCAGAAAGGCGGGGCATAGAGGAGAAACAATAATGTACAGTATGTGGAAAATAATGTGTTTTTTTAAACCTTAAACCGCATAAACACATTTCATTACACCAAATACACAAAATAATGTTATTTTTAGAAATGTCATATGACCCCTTTAAATACTGTATAAAAGTTTTATCAAATAAAATAAATACAGTTCAAAATTCTGCATTTACCCTTCTAAATCTTTAATACCAAGTTTCACTGATATTGATGATGTATGTTGTATTTTTTGACTGTAAAGTCATAAATAGGTTTTGGATAGATTTGGCAGAATTTATATTTAATGTAATGAATATTAATTATTGCTTTACTTTAAAGAATGTTATCTTGTATTATGAAAACAAAAGCAATAAAGATCTAGAATTTAGTTAACCTTTTTTATTTTATTAGCAAAATTTCACATACATAAACAAAAATATCTTAATTCATCTCCTATGTTAAATTTGTTTTGTATTGATTTAGAATGTTTCTTCAATAAGACTGTTAAAAAATAATGATACATATTTTTATATAATATGATACAATCTTCAATCCCCCTGGTACTTAGTAATATCATTGTTAAAATTGAATGTGTGCTATGCTTTGTTTGTTTATAATTTTTGTATTGTTATTATTATTATTTGTATGTTCCTTTTTCTGCATAAAAAAAAACTTGTGTATTTGGCACAGAAATACACCGTCATATGTCCAGCTTGTTTTTTTTAAACATTGGTCATGTTTAGCATGAGAATCCAACTATGTAAGACTGCATGAAATAGCATTAGACCCCCACTGTAATTATAAAGATGTGCGGCATTTGCAGCCAGCGGGTGATTGTTGGAAAATGGGTAGGACACAAAAACAGTGATAGACATAATGATTAGTTTAACCCGTTTTCAGTAATAGTGAAGTCATACTTAAGAGCCGATATTATGGACATAGAGTTGTAGAGCTGTGTCTGACATAATTTACCTGAGGTTCAGGAAACTGCTCGTGTCTGGGGCGTATTTCATCCAAATAAAATAAATAAATTAGTCAATGTCAACTCTGTTACCATCTAACTCTGTTACCAATATATAGTGACAGTGTTGACAGTATGTAGCAGAATTAACAGTCATACACAGAGAAACACATACACACACACACATATATATATATATATATATATATATATGTGTCATTTCTGTTACAAATTGTCAACACTGTCACTGGCAACATTGGTAACAGAGTTGACTGCCTAATTTTGACAAGAAAGAAATAATCTCAAGAATGGCCATAAGAGTTCTATGCTTTTCCCTGAATGATTCCCATGGTGCTCAGAAGGGTATAACTGGTCCATCACAAAGTTTTGCTTGTGGCCCCAAGATGGCCAAAGAAACACTGGTTCCCAATTCTTGTACGTGTGGTTCAAGGTCGTCATTGGCAGCAACCAAGGAGAATCTATCTCCTGTCTCAGCCAGAGGGACAAATTTGGCACCAGAGACTAGAGACTCTACAACTGTGGGTTTGGCCTCTGCTCAGTCCCTCCCTAAGGGCTTAGATGAAGCTGAACTGAGGACAACAAATAGTTCTAAGGCATCCTCTATTTGGAGTAACTATTCTAGCAAGTGGCAAATATTCTCTCATGGTGTTAAGACCATAAGCTAGATGCTGCCAATTGTGTTCTCCGGCTCCTTCAGTCATTGTTGGATTCAGGGTAATCGGTTAATACTGTAAAGGCCTATATTGCAGCCATCTCACATTTTCATTCATTAGTGGATGGTGTAATTATTGGTAAACACTCTTTAGTGTCTCAATCCCTTAAGGGTGCGCACCGTTTATGCCCAGGAAGGGTTATAAGATAACCCGCTTGGGATCTTACTATTATTTTGCATTCACAGTTCAAAGCACCTTTTGAACCTTTGGTTTCAAGCCGATCTAAAGTTCCTGACAGTCTTCTTCCTGGCAGTATGTTCAGCTAAGAGGGTTAGTGAATTGCACTCTTCATCAGTCAGTGAAGACTGTTTGAGATGTTCCCAAAAAAATAACCAAATAGGAACCATATGGGAACGTTAAGGGAACGTTCTTTGTTTTTTGAGCGGGTATTGTGTACAATGTTAATAACTCCCGCAAGTGCCACGTTCATAATGTGGTAAATTCCCACTCCCACTCCCACTCCCAAACTAAAGCAGGCTCTGTAAAGTAGCTATCAGCTATAACAGTGATAAACACTAAACAATACTCGGCGATTTGAGAAGGATCTTAGTGGGTGTTATATAGTGTGTCTGTGATTGGTTACAGCTGTGTGCAATCAGTGGAGCAGGGAACCAGGGCGGAGCCGGTGGAGCAGAGGACCAGGGTGGAACATAAGAGCCAGAGCGGAATCGGCAGAACAGGTGGAGCTGAGGACCTCCACAGCAGAGCAGACAGATCCAGAGATTGCCACGGCAGAGCAGAAGCCCACCAGGACGGAGCAGAAGACCTCCACTGTGGAGCAGACAGAGCAGAAACTCCTGGTAGAGATTGGGACCTAGGAAAAACTGAGACACAAGAGACAGACACAGCATATACGGTCTCAAGGACAGAGGCAGGAGACACAAAAAGCTCATCAAGGTTTTCTCTGCTGACAACTGAATGAGCAGAAAGTTCATCATTGGAATCATTGGCAACCACTGGTTGAGTTAACAGATTCATTGGCTGAAACTGGTCAGGAATACGGTTCAAAATCTGGCTCATTGACTGAAACTGGACAGACAGACAGTTCATAAACGGGCTCACAGACTGAAACTGGACAAGCAGACAATACAAAATCAGACTCTTTGATTGAAACGGAACAGATATATGGTTCTAAATTAGACTCATTGACTGAGACAGGATAGATAGCCAGTTTATTAATGGTTACTTTGATACTGATAGGGGTAATGGGACAGACATAGAGTGCATTTGTAGTTTCAGAGCTCATGACAGGCAGGGTTAAGAGTTCAAAGGCGGGTCTTTGGGCTGTGACAATGCTACTAGAGCCTACAGGGAGCTCAGGTAAGGTTTCTGGGGCCGTGACTGGACTAGTGGGGCAAATAACAGGTTCATAGATTGAAACTGGACCGACAGATGGTTCAAAATCAGACTTGTTAACTGAAATCAGATTAGCAGACAGTTCAACACAGGATGTATTGACTGAAATAGGGTGAACAGACTCTTCAAAATCAAGAGCATTGATTGGAGCTGACAAGTCAGACATTTCAAGATCAGATTCATTTGTTTCGACTAGACGGAGGGACAGATCACAATCAGCCTCCATGGCTGGTTCAACACGAGACAAGAGTTCATTAACGGCCTCCATAGCAGTAATAGGACACAGGCAGTGGGCTCACAGACAGCCTCCATAGCCGTGACAGGACAGAATAAGGATTCGCAGACGGCCTCCATAGCCGTGACAGGACAGGACAAGGATTCGCCGACGGCCTCCATAGCCATGACAGGACAGGACGAGGATTCACAAACGGCCTCCATAGCCGTGACAGGACAGGACGAGGATTCGCAGATGACTTCCATAGCCGTGACAGGACAGGATGAGGATTCACAGACGGCCTCCATAGCCATGACAGGACAAACAGGAAGTTCACAGGTGGATACCACTGATACTTCTGGAGGTTCTGCAGCGGATGCCGTCACCTCTGGAGGTTCTACAGCAGTACCATCAGGAAACAGGGAGAGTTGATAAATATTCTCTTTAACAGGACAGGAACAGCATTCAACAACGGTTCCTTCGACCACGACATGACAGGCTGAGAGTGCATTGCTGGGCGCCACCACCATGCAAGGAGCTGAAGTGAGCATCGCTGCCTCGGGAGGTTCTGCAGCACATGCCACCACCTCTGGGGAAACAGCAGCAAACTCCACTACCTTGGGAGGTTCTGCAGCATCACCCGCCACCTCTGGAAACATCATAGTAGGTGCCATTGTTTCAAGAGTCTCAGTAAAGCGATCCCCATTATGGGAAGCGCTACAGACAGGGGACTTAGTTCAGGAGGGCTAGAGTGAGTGGGTTTGGGGATACCAGCTGCGACTGCTGACACCAGTGGTGGACAGACAAACTGACCTCGGACTTCTGGGTGTAGCAGACAGGAAGTAACTTCTGCAGCACATGCCGCCACCTCTGGGGAAACAGCAGCAAACTCCACTACCTTGGGAGGTTCTGCAGCATCACCCGCCACCTCTGGAAACATCATAGTAGGTGCCATTGTTTCAAGAGTCTCAGTAAAGCGATCCCCATTATGGGAAGCGCTACAGACAGGGGACTTAGTTCAGGAACAGGAGGGCTAGAGTGAGTGGGTTTGGGGATACCAGCTGCGACTGCTGACACCAGCGGTGGACAGACAAACTGACCTCGGACTTCTGGGTGTAGCAGACAGGAAGTAACTGAACTCTGGATGTTCAGCTGTGACGTGACGTGACTCTGGATGATCAGCTGTGATGTGACGTGACTCTGGATGATCAGCTGTGATGTGACGTGACTCTGGATGATCAGCTGTGATGTGACGTTACTCTGGATGATCAGCAGTGATGTGACGTGACTCTGGAAGATCGGCTGAGACGTGATGAAGCTCTGGAAGATCAGCCGAGATGTGACGTGACTAGACTCTGGAAGATAAGCCGAGACATGACGTGACTCTGGAAGATCAGCCGAGACGTGACGTGACTCTGGAAGATCAGCTGAGACGTGACGTGACTCTGGAAGATCAGCTCAGACGTGACGAGACTCTGGAAGATCAGCTGTGATGTGACGAGGCTCTAGCAGATCAGCTGATATGTGATCAGCGATGACTTGACTTGACTCATGAAAGGCAGCAGTGACATGATGGAATGTTGTAGTAGCCACCATTTTGCGAACAGGCTCCGCTGTTACCGCCATTATGTGAACGCGTTCTGGTGTGGCAGCCATTTTCCCGAGCGGGTTGAATCACCGGAGTAGCGACCAGTATACAAAATCTCACGGCCGCCATTACCGGCACGAAGGCGCTGTCATGTTCCTCCTACGCGACACCCACAGTGAATAGAGAGCCAACAGTCAACAAAGCATAATCCAAAAACTGGCTGAGTGACGAACGCAGACCCTCACGTCTAAGCTTTGACTGAAGAGGTTGATTAATGCCATCACAGAAAAACTCTATCAAAATAATGTCTGGTAAATCGGAATACTGTATAGTATGTGGAATACTCTTTCCACCACTGATCTTGAGAAATGGTAAGTTCACATACACATTTTATTACTGAATAAATAAAAATATTTCCAAGGTATATAAGCAAAATGTCAGGCACAAATAACACAACTCACACTCTGGTCTGTAATCCTGTACAAACAGAGAAATCACTCAGTGATGTTCAACTAAATATCCACACTATGAACGCTGCTCAGAAATCAAATTCAGCTGTTGTATATTATATTGTGCATGCTTTAAATTGAAATCATCATGTGTATGATGTCACTGTCATATATCACATGGCATGAATGATGAAAGCAACTGCCAAAATGAAGCCTTTATTGACAGACCAAGACATGAAAAGTCACTCTGATGATTCTGGAGCGGTTTGTTCTTTAGCGTGTTTGTTCTGGTGGGTCTGAAAACTACCTAAATAAGCGAATCTCTCGCCGCAGATGGAGCAGGAGTAAGGTTTCTCTCCTGTATGAACTCGCTGATGGACCTTAAGGACGTCTGATCGAGCAAACGTCTTGTCACACTGTGAGCATTTGAACGGTCTTTCTCCGGTATGAATCCTCTTGTGGTTTTGTAATGTAATGTGTTTACCAAAACTCTTCCCACAAACGCTGCAGTGATATGGTTTTTCTCCAGTGTGAACTCTCTGATGAAGTCCAAAATGAACTGGATTAGAAAAGCTCTTTCCACAGTAGGAGCACAGATACGGTTTCTCTCCAGTGTGAGTCCTCTCATGATAGTTCAGGTAGGATTTGTGAAGGAATCGTTTGTCACAGTATTTGCACTGAAACGGTTTCTCACCTGTGTGCATTTTTTGGTGTGACTGTAGACTAAATAACTGCCTAAAGGCTTTTCCACATTCACTGCACTGGTACGGCCTCTCATTGGTGTGCAAACGCACATGTATCTTCAGATGAGATCCATACATGAATCTTCTTTCACAGTGAGGGCACTTGTATGGTTTTTCTCCCGTGTGGATTCGCTTATGAACAACAAGATTTCCTTTGGTGCTGAAATGCTTGTCACATTCGCTGCAGTGGAAAGACTTTTCGTCGTGTGTCTTTATATGGGCTTTCATATTATGAGCAACGGTGAAAAAATCCTTCCCGCACTGTTCACAGTGAAACTCCTTCTTCCCGCTGTGCTCTTTTGAGTGAAGTCTCCTCTCTTCTGCGGTAGGAAAGCTGATGTTGCATATCTTACAGCTGAAGTCTTTCTGTTCTGTGTGTGTTCTCTCGTGTCTCGCTAAATGACCCTCTGAACTCAGTGTTTTTCCACAGGTGGTGCAGGAGAAACTCTTGGTCTGCAGCTGCTCTTTTGAAGTTTCTTTATCTCCATCAGAGGATGAACCACAACTCACATCTGAAAGGAACAAAACTTGAATAAAACAACCTTAAAATGTACTTGAATAGAGTTAGACAACATCCATGTAATTTATTAACAAAATATGCGTCCAGGTCAAATCGACACTAATAAAATGCAACTGTTGTTTTCCACAGCTTGGTGTGTAGTAAATGCTCCACACAAAAGCATATGTCTGCATGATGCTTTGTTATTTTTACAATTAATTCAAGAATAATTATTATTATGCTACTCATATAAATAATTGTCACAACCCCAAATTAGAGAAAGTTGGGACAACAAGAACCTGTGATTTGTTAATTTTCTTAAATTCTCATTTAATTGACAAAAGTACAAAGAAAAAATCTCCAATGGTTTCACATGTTTTGAAAATATAAACAAATTTAGATTTTGATGGAAAGGAAAGGATAGGATGTGATGTGTGGCCAAGTATGGTGTCCCATACTCGGCATTTCACCCATCCAAGTGCACACACAGACACACACACACACACATACACACACACCATGAACACACACTTGAAGCAGTGGGCAGATGTTTTTGCTGCGGCGCCCGGGGAGCAGTTGGGGGTTCAGTTCTTGCTCAAGGGTCTCACCTCAGTCGTGGTATTGAGGGTGGAAGAGAGCGCTGGTCATTCACTCCCCCCCACCATCAATTCCTGCCGGACCTGAGACTCGAACCTGCAACCTTTGGGTTACAAGTCTCTCACCATTAGGCCACGACTGCCCAACACTCTCCAAAAAGTTGGGACAGAGGCAAAATAAAAGTGAAAAGTTTATAAAATATCAAAATTAATGTCAGTCACACTGATGTCGACTCGCAGTTCCAACACTTGGGGTTCCTATACCTTTTTGGGGTCTCTTTCGACCAGGTCTCTCTGGAAGAAGAGATTGTAATTATCTCAATGAGACATTGCTGGCTAAATAAAGGAAGTAATAATAATAATAACAACCATATATTAAGTGCCACAACTGTTTGAACTGCATTACGAGTCCACGAATGCACCTCTCATCCTCGTAAACTTCCAATGCCCAGGAAGGAAGACCACCTTGTCCTTCAACTTGGGACAGTTGCCACATAATGTCAGAGGTCATATCAGCCAGAAGCCTGTTCCTCTGCTTAAAAACACTAATAAAAATGAAACACCTGGTGAACCTGGTTGTGAACATTCACTTCCTCTAGTGTGAAAAGATCACTACGGCGACCACATCCTGCCTGAAGGGAGGTGAGATGCATCCTATGGAATTGCTAAAGGAATCCAGAGGGAGATTCTTTGTTTGGAGATGGCCTTCCCCTTCTGCTGTCCTCCAACGCAGACAAAAAGCTGTGCAGATGATCTGAAAATCTGTGTGCATTCCAAACAGCAGCGCAGGGCTCACAGTGGGCACAACAGAGACAGGGTTGGGTCTCCCTCGACAGAAGGGAGTGCCTGCAGGGTCACCACTTGGTCCCTAAAGGGAGTAGTGGGATCCTTGGGCACAAATCCAGGTCAGGGTCTCAGGACAACGCTAGAGTCCGCCAGCCCAATTTCTAGGCACGTTTGATTTCTGCAACTCAGTTTGGGCAAATGCAGAGATGTGATTTTTTTTTATCGCAAGCACATACAATCTACCTGAGGGAAGACGTATTTCACTATTGTAAGTTAATGTTGTTAAATAGAGAAACAAAATTATACATTTTTTAAATTTTGACTTCTAGCGTATTATTCAACTTGGACCTCATTATTGGAAAACAAATTCAAGCACCAAAAGCAGCCCACACTCTATGCTCTCTTTACATTTTTATGCATTCATCGGCTACATTGCAATACAATTTTACTTCAAATTTTTAATTGCCCTTGTTTAAACATTCTTTATTGCTTGATGCTTCATATGACAATGTTATGCCATAATGTATGTAATTTCACAGTATCCACCTAAATTATTACACCTTTGTGCAGTCACAATTCCATGGTGGTAACATTTACTCATGCCAGTGGTTTGTGTAACATTTTTTGTATGATGGATGTGGATTTAATTGAGGAATTCTCTTTGAAGAAGAGCAGAAAGATGGTGAGTGATATTTAATTCATTTTATTGGCCAGGCTGTTTCTGATTTGTAAGATTATGTAAATGATTTTTAGCCTATATATATATGGGATTATGATGACGTGTGCATCAAGTTTATTTTTATTTATAAGGAAGGGGATGCGGGGGGAACCGCAAAGGCTTAACGCGGCACTGGACACAGGGTTAAACGTCCCTCTGTCCCAACTTTTTTCGAGTGTGTTGCTGCCATCAAAATCAAAATGTATTTATATTTTCAAAATACAATTAATTTGGTCAGTGAAAACATTGGAAATCTTTTCTATGTACTTTTGCCTTTTTTCAAAATGTACCATTTTTTTCTGCTTTGGGGTTGTACAAAACAAACATAATTTGATATTTGACCAACTCAAGCAGCCCTAAGAACAAACACAGCAAACCCGGAGCTCTTTAAAACACACACATTTTTAATCCCAATCTATCCCACAAGCGGCGCGAGAGGAAGCAGAAGAGGGGTAACACTATCCCCACCATCGTACTGGCTAACGTACGCTCTTTGGACAATAAACTGGACTACATCCGGCTACTATGCTCAACTCAGAGGACTGTAAGAAACTGTTGTGTTTTTGTGTTCACGGAAACATGGCTCAACAACAGCGTTCCGGACTGCGCTATTCATCTCGATCAGCTGACATGCTATCGAGCGGACAGAGCTCGCGTCGAGGGAGGTAAGACCCGCGGCGGAGGGCTTTGTGTTTACATCAATGATGCGTGGTACCCTGATGCTGTTGTGGTCTGCAAACACTGCTCACCCCTGGTGGAGTTTATGATTATTAAGTGCAGGCCGTTCTATCTACCGAGGGAATATACAGCCATACTACTCGTTGCTGTATACCTCCCTCCCAGCTCCAAAAACAGCAACAGGAGAGAGGCACTAAATGAACTGTACCAGCACATCAGTGAGCAGCAGACAGCCCACCCTGATGCTTTTCTCATCTTAGCTGGGGATTTCAACCACGAACTCACATAACCGACCTGAAACGCTTTAAGCTGCGCTACTTCCGACGCAGCAACACGACGCACATCCGCCCCCTGCTGGACTGGAGCGCCACCATCGCTGGATATGACTTCAGTGTACTGCATCCGAATATCCAGTTTGTTTGGAGGGGTTTTAAAATAAACAATGGACACTTGTGGTGTTTAACACATAATACACCGTGGCTGGGTAACTTTTGATTCACTATTAGTTTGTGTTGTTTACATTAAGACCATGCACTTGCAACAAAACAGACATTTGATTTCATTTTACTTACCGCCTGCGGGTTCGACTCATGACCGGGATCTTTTATTTCTGGGATCGCTGCATCTTTCATTTTCAAACGATCTGCAAACCCAGCGTCAAACTGGGCCTTGTTTGTAAAACATTCATCACTGAAATGACGGAAACAAACAAACACATGCGTGCAACGCCGTTGCTGCCCGGGAAAAACTAACTGCATCTACTGCTCCCTTAACGCTGGGTTCTTTGGGAAGCTGAACAAGCTTATCTTTCCCTCGCAACCAAAAACACACTTTTTTGGTGACATTGTTGAACTCGTAAGAAACAAGATGAGAAATCCTCCTGGAGCCAGTCCTGTGCGCATGCTCTTCTGGGAGAAGTGCCCATACAAGGACTCCCGCCCTTTATGACGTAATAGAGGGCCATACTGTAAAAAAACGTATTATTTTATATTATAATTTATTGACTTTTTTGTTATTATAGATCATTTTTATCTTGATGTTTTTTTTTTAGCATTAATAAAAAAAAACTTTTTTTTCAAACTATGCTTAAGCTGAGAAAAAAAGCAATAACAACCATATTTGTAATATTTTTCAAAAATAAAATAAAATATCTCCTAGGCAAGGCAAGTTTATTTATATAGCACATTTCATACACAATGGTAATTCAAAGTGCTTTACATAAAAGGAAGTAAAATTCAGACGAAGTTCACGAGATCACAAAAAATGATCATTATTATTAGCGCAAAAGTATTTTCTCAGAACATGAGTTTTGCTATTTAGAACACAATTTAAAGCGGAATTGCTAGATGCTGCCAATTGTGACACCAGTTGTGTTCTCCGGCTCCTTCAGTCATTGTTGGATTCAGGGTAATCGGTTAATACTGTAAAGGCCTATATTGCAGCCATCTCACGTTTTCATTCTTTAGTGGATGGTGTAATTATTGGTAAACACTCTTTAGTGTCTCAATCCCTTAAGGGTGCGCACCGTTTATGCCCAGGAAGGGTTATAAGATAACCCACTTGGGATCTAACTATTATTTTGCATTCACAGTTCAAAGCACCTTTTGAACCTTTGGTTTCAAGCCGATCTAAAGTTCCTGACAGTCTTCTTCCTGGCAGTATGTTCAGCTAAGAGGGTTAGTGAATTGCACTCTTCATCAGTCAGTGAAGACTGTTTGAGATGTTCCCCAAAAAATAACCAAATAGGAACCATATGGGAACGTTCTGTGTTTTTTGAGCGGAGATTGTGTACAATGTTAATAACCCACGCAAGTGCCACGTTCATAATGTTGTAAACTCCCACTCCCATTTACTTAAGTATTAGAGAGAGATGCGACTGGCACTGCCGAATCTCTCTCTGCCACAGCTTGTTGACTCCTGATGATTTTAAGAGCGAGACGGATGCTGTGAAAGTGTGTTGGGAACGGGGGTTGAGGATCCAAGTGCAGAGCTTTTATTTTCACGTGGTCACAATCAGGCATGGGTCAGACAAGTCAAGTCACCTTTATTTATATAGCGCTTTTAACAATACAGATTGTGTCAAAGAAACTGAACAGCATTAATTAGGAAAATAGTGTGTCAATAATGCAAAATGACAAGATTAGACTAGGAAACTAAAGCAGGCTCCGTAAAATAGCTATCAGCTATAACAGTGATAAACGCTAAACAATACTCGGCGATTTGAGAAGGATCTGA